CAAGGGCTTTCAGCCCTGTACTACCCGTCCTGTGCCGAGCTAGTTCCTGCAGAGCTGAATCAAGAAAGTAAGTTCGGAGAAGCCAGACCTACCCCAACAGTAGTTCTTTGGAGATGGTAATGGACAGTGAGACTTCCTTAGAAACGCCCAGCTCAGATGGCTGCTTCTCTGCACCATTATAAGTTTGCTGATAGTGGTTTTCATCTTTAGGTCAAAGATGCTTATAGAGATGTTATCACCAGCACTCCTGGGCCCAGACCAAGTTCTGCTCTGGGACAGAACAACCGATCTTTAGAGACAAGTAAAAAATTCGGGTGTTTTTAGATGAAATTTTCCACTTTTGAAAGTGTTGCTAGTATTCCAAAATTCTAAAAATGCCACGTAGACCAAAGACAACATACCTGTGATTTGCCCTGTGAACCTGGGGAGGAAAGACTTGAATAGGAGCGAGGTTAGCTGACTGGTTTCAGGCAGTTGGCTGCTGGCTGAATGGTAGAAATGCTTGTCCATCCTGGATTTGGGCGGGGGTTGGGGCTTTCCCTGTGATGAAGCCACATCAGCTGTTCCCCGAAGCCCCTCCCATCTGACTCTCTTGTGCTGGGTCTTTGGCAACTATCATTTCCTCAGATCAGATTTAGGTCGTGGGAAGTGTCCATGACCAGGAAGAGACTGGGATGGGGCTCAAGGAAATGGACCATGACACCCCACAGGACAAAGTTCAAGCCAGCTGCTTTTGGTGCCAGCACTTGTGTAAGCAAAGGTAAAATTATCTTTGTTCCTGCCCAGTGTCGTTCAGAGCAGATGCAGTTCTGATTTTTCTCCTCTGGGTGTGGCAGGTAGCTTCAGTCCTGCATATGTAGAAAGAACTGGAACATCTAGGGAGGGTGCAGGGGATGGGTCTGACTTCTATTGTTTTCTGGGAATATTCTTTTTTTTTTAATTTTTATTAGTGAAACACCATGAGGTACAGTTGTAGACTTACACATTTTTGTGCTTGGGTTTCAGTTATACAATGATCGTACACTCATCCCTCCACCAGTGCCCATTCTTCACCACCACTGATCCCAGTATCCCTCCCACCCCCCATCTCCCCCAAACCATCCTGCCTCTGTTGGCAGGGCATTCTGGGAATATTCTTTAGCAGAAACCAGTTTTACAATGTCCGAGATTTACAAAAATTTACAAAGATTTACAAAAATCTTTGTTTTGATAATATCAACTACAAGATTGTGTAATAAATTGAAAGTTGCACAGGCTGGTGAATAGTAAAGGGTAGGGAGTTTGCCTTGTATGTGGTTCACCTGGGTTCAATCCCTTACACCAGAGAGTCCCCCAATTCCCACCAGGAGTTAGCACTGAGCACCACCAGGTGTGCCCCCCAACATGTCATTCCACTTCATTCCCACTGCTGCCAACATCATGGTGTTCATCAGCAGACAATGGAGGGAGACAACTCCCAAATTCCTCCTAGGAAAGTTTGAGTAACTGAGAAATGCAAATTGAAATGTAAAGGAGAGAAGCATATTTTATCTAAAAGAGAACTTTCTAACCTGGACCAAATCACTTTCTAAAATCACTACTGATAGGGCAGGACATGTCCAGTGGGCATGGCACTTGGCTTGTACATGTCTAACCTAGGTTTGACCTCTGGCACTTCCTATGGTCCCCTGAGCCCATTAGAAGTGATCCAAGTATAGTGCCAGGAGAAATCCCTACGTATAGTTGGGTGTGGCTCCCAAAAAAATCACTAATGAACTTAGAGGGAGACTTCTGGGAGGCAGAAAAGGCCTCAGTAGGGAGACCTAGTGGGTTCCTAGCACCCACATCACCTGTCCAGAGCTTGACGTTCTGACCGGGCACAGTCTTTGACGTCAGATCTTACTTACAATCCACTCTTCATGCCTATAGAAGAACCTGAAGGTTCAGGTTTTGCCCTCCTCAGCGAACTGATCTATTGGTCCTAAATCAGTATCAAATCTTATTTCAAACAGCCCATGTTTGACTTATCTCTCCCCTCCCTGAACTATACCTCTCAAAATGATTTGACAGTGAGGCTGGAGCAATAGTACAGTGCGTAGTATGCTTGCCTTGCCCCAGGCCAACCCAGGTTCAATCCCCAGCACCCCATATGGTCCTCTGAATCCATCAGGATCCCTGAATGCAGAACCAGGAGTAAGCCCCGAGCACCCAAAGAAAACCCAAAATGACCTGATGAATCTTCCAATGGTGTTATCACCTCTCCACTTAAAAATCTTGAGAAGCTCCATGCCTACAAAAGATCAAATCAAACCCTCGAGAGCTATGTCTCACCTGGTAGCCTTCTTTCTCAACTTCTATCACTCCAGTGCTTTTTATTCTGAATATATTCTGCTCTGTACCAAACTACCTCTCTTCCAACCACCAACGCCCCTATCTCCCCCATTCTCTTTATTGCCCTACTCTAAACAGAGATGCAGTTATTTCTAAACTCTTAACATATTAAATTACATTTTTTCAACCCCTTGCCTGGTTCTCTCCAATACAGCAGCCATTAGCTCCATGTTGCTGTCTCAATGAACATGTTGATTCTGGCTCACACCTGGATGCCCCACACAGAGGTACCATGGGTGGCTCAGTCTACTAGCCATATTTCATATTCTTGATAGCCTCATGTGGCTACTGGTGACTACACTGAGTAGTGCTGATAAAGAATTTCTCCGGGGTCAGAGAGAAGAGTGGGTAAGGCGCTTGACTTATAAGTGGTCAGAGTTTAATCCCCAGGACATGGCCACCACCAAGAGTGATCTCTGAATAGAGCCAAGATTAAGCATTTAATGGTTGCATTTCCAATTAGAGTAGGGCAACAAACAGGACATGGGGAAGATGGGGGCGCAGGTGGTGGGAGGAAAGGCAGATTGGTAGAGAGCAGAATGTGTAACTGCCCTGGGTTCGATCCCCAGCACCCCATATGGTTCCCCCAAGCCCCACCAGAGTGATCCCTGAGGGGCTGGAGTTATAGTACAGCAGATACTAAGAGGGTACTAAGAAAGGGCATTTGCTTTGCATGGGACTAAGCCTGGTTTGATCCCTGTGTGGTCCCTGAGCATCGCCAGGAGTAATTCCTGAGTGCAGAGTCAGAAGTAACCTCTGAGCATTGCCAGGATGGGGGGGATAGGGGGTGGGAGGGATACTGGGATCCGTGGTGGTGGGAAATGGGCACTGGTGGAGGGATGGGTACTTGATCATTGCATTAACTGAAACCCAAGCACAAAAATTTGTAAGTCTACAACTGTACCTCATGGTGCTCACTAATAAAAATTTTTTAAAAATTTAAAAAAAAATTTAAAAAAATTAAATAAAGGTAAAGGCCCTCCCGTTGATCGTCGATTTGCTCGAGCGGGCCCAGTAACGTCTCCATTGGAGACTTTGTTGTTACTGTGTCTGGCATATCGAATACTCTCGGTAGCTTGCCGGGCTCTCCGAGAGGGGCGGAGGAATCGAACTCGGGTCGGCCATGTTGGCCGCTTGTAAGGCGAACGCCCTACCGCTAAACTGAAAAAAAAAAAAGTGAAAAAAAGAGATCCTTGAAGATCCCTGTGTTCAAGGCAGAAGGCTAGCTTTTCCAGAATGGAAAAGGCAGAGAAGAGAAATACCTGTTCAAAAGAACACTGGCTTGAAAAACAAGCAAGCATACAAGCCCAAAATGGTAACTTTATAAGGCACTTGCTTTGTATACAGCCAACACGGGTTTGATCTGGGGCACCCCATATGGCCTCCTGAGAACTGCCAGGAGTAATCTCTGAGCACAGAGCAAAATGCCCCGAGCATAACTGGTGTGGCCCAAAAACAAAAACAAAACCCAAAGCAAAACAAAAACATGGCTGTCATATTTGGTAGACTATATGTGGTAACAGGATTCTAGTAAGGATGGCAGCTGTAGCCAAATGCTAGGCAAGCTCCCTAAGTTCTGTACCCTTCTCCCCAGAGCGTTTCATTTGTTAACTAGAAACAACAACAAAAAAACCTTACTTTTTTCACTGGGCTTATGGGTATTCCTGTGCCTTTGTATTGTCTACTCTAATTTTGCTTTTAGTTGTTTTGGAGCAATACCTGTTAGTCCTCAGGGTATCTGGTGTTGAGATTTGAACCTGAGTCAGCAACACACAAGTCTTACCTGCTGTGTCTTTCTGGCCTATTACAGTTTTTGTTTGGTGCATAGGAGTCCCTGTAGTGCCACGAACTGAACCTGGGCCTTTCTCATGCAAGCATTGAGTTCTCTCTCTGGACTGTCTACACTATCCTATTTAACTGGATAACTATTACGTACCAAGTGAAGAGCAAAGAATTAATTTCAGAAAGATGACTAGCTTTGGTGTGCTGAAGAGCCAGAGGCAAGACCAAGGACCTCATCTTTGCTCTGGGCAGGAGAGAGAGTACAAAGAGTAGATGCTAGCTTGCCTGACACTCAGCTGACCTGGATCAAACCCAGGTACCCCATATGGTCCCCTGCCTGCCAAGAGCAATACCTGAGTGCAGAGCCAGGATTAAGCCTTGAGCACTGCCAGGTGTGACACAAAAACAAAACAAAGTAATTCCCTTTTTACACTCTACTACTGAGGAAGCTCAAGGGGCGGCACTCCTCATGCTCTAGTTTGAGGCCCACCTGCCTGTGGCATGGAGATGAAAACACCGAGTAACCTCACTGGCCTTTTCAAAGCTGCAGCTTGTAAGTTAGGCATTCCATGGGGCCTGGGGCTGCCTGTTTGACAAATCACATGCTGGGCACGGGTCTCAATTTCCACTTGAAATCTCGTTAGTGCTTGCCATCGTTGTTTTGGGACCACACATGGTAGTGGTCAGGGAACCATATTTGGCTTCGGGAAGCGAATTCAAGTCAGCCGCGGTGTTTTCCAAGGAATGTGCGGTGCTATGCAGAGGCCGGGCCAGTGTAACTGGTCCCCAGCCCCTTTACCACACCCACCGGCCCCTCCGCTTGACACAGACAAGACCAGAGCTCACAGTAATGTAAAACCATTTGTTTAATTCTAAATCAAATCACTTTCACAACAGTGAAAATTAGTGTCTGGTTAAGGTGTGCCACTATACATGGTGCCATTTTCTGACTCGTTGGGATCTGGTCCTGATCCACAGATGTGGCAGGAGGCGGGTGGAGCCAAGAGCATAGAAAACATACATGACAGAAAGGAAAGATGCCTTGGCAGAGTGGTGAGCCTGTAGGAGTGGTGTGAAGGGGGCTGCCATTTGGGCTGGACCAGCAGCTCATGGTGGGTCCCTGCCTCGGCTCCTGGCAGAGGTTGTGTGGGAACATATAAAGTTTAAAGTCAAAGGGCACGTTGGCCCACCAGGCTCTAACGGTCCCGAGGGTGCCTTTTCTATTGGAACTCTTCTGGGCTCACCCCATTTTATTAAACAGTCCAAATGATTTGATTTTCTATCTCTAACTATTCTTTAACCGTTTTCAAAACCCATGTGTCCATAGGGCCTCCCTGACTGAAGTCCTCTTTGTCACCAGTAGGGGGCAGCAGTGTACTGAGCCAGGCCACCAATCCTTTTGTCGTGAGACCAGGGCGGCCTCTCAAGTTGGGGATTTTCAGGTGATAAAAAGAACACTCTCGAGAGGGTGCCTCAAGAATTTTTAAAATCAGGCAGGCATACTGAAAGCTGGTGGCTTATTCCTGCCAAATGGATTCGGCAAACGAACCACCAATTCAATACTTGTATTTTGACGGTTTAAACACTGAACTCTGGCACTGACAGGCGCAAAGGGGAAAGGGTAGAGGATGTGAAGAGGGGAGGATTTTCCTCATCTTACTCAAAGTATTCGTTTCCACGTGCTATCCAGAACCATATTTGAAAAAGTGAAAAAAGGCAGACCCTTCTACTGTTGATTATTGCTTTGGGTGAGGAGCGGGAGGAACAGGCCAAGTGGCTGCAGCCCCTAGAGGAAATTTCTCCATACCCCAGAGGTCTTCTGGGAAAGGCTGGATCTCCAGAAGAGGCCTGACTAGCTGAGTGGGAACCATCCCAGCACGTAAACTGTCCTCCTGCCTGGTACCACACTCCCTCAGAATCAGAGGAAGAGGCTTGTGGAGTTGAAAAAACAATCAAGGACTTGCAAGAATAAATCCGCCTGGGACTTTCCAGGGGAAAGACTTCCACAGGAAGACCACATCATTATTTTCAGGTTGAGGCTGCAAGGAGGCCCTGCTGCCTGGATTTACAAATCATCAGGGGTTGCCTGTTCTCGAGTCTCATGCTTCCCGAGTTGCAGCACACCGACAAGGAGTTTTAAGGGGAATCCATCAAGCAATACCAAATTCAGGGCAACACACGATCTCCCCACTCCCTGCCTCTTCATACAGGACAACTTGGCGTCTGACGAGGGTAGGCTTAAACATGCAGCTAGGATGACTTGACGAGGCTGCCTTTTCCTTTGCGCAGGTCAAGGGGAAGATGCACCAGAACTTCTGCAGCCTGAGGGGCAGTTTTCTGCAGCTGTTTCTGCATCCACGTCCCAAATCCCACAGGAGTCCTGGGTGTGGGTATTTCCACAGGCATGGCATCAGCACTGAGAGAGGAAGAGGGGCAGTTTGGGGTGAAGGGCGATCAGCAAGTGTGAATGAAACCACGAGTCTGCAGGGCGAGTCTGTGTCAGGAAACCACGAAGTCACTGAAACAACTCTTCATGGCCCAAATTCATGAAAAGACCCTTGGGGCTCTTGGGATTTTATGAATCAACTCTAGCTTCAGTCACTGCAATTATAATTTTTATAGAAGTGCAATTTCTTGCATCTCACTGAGGAGGAGGAAGGGGGAGAGAGGAAATCAGGAGAGGATTCACTGACAAATGGAAGGGGGCCCTCACTGCTGTGCAGCCCGCTGACTTCACAGGCAGTTTACAAAGGAGTATCTTCGAGATGAAAGCAAGTTTCTGTAAGGATCATTTGGTGCATCCCTGTGTCCTTGAGATATGAAGCTTAGGTGAAATTATACCAGCAGTTTTCCTCTTCCTGCCTCTTCTCTATGCAGTCAGGACTTGCTGATCTGGCTGGAACAGAATTTCATGGAGTCACCCGTAAGAGACGACGCCATGCCATGGCCTGAAGTTTTAGCAGGGCATTTACAGCAGAGATCACGCTCCACGATCCTCACCAACTGGGTCTGATTGAGTCCCAAAGCTCTGATGGAGAAGCAAGACTCCTTGATGTGTTACTGAGCCCACTGATTCCAGGGGTCAGGACTAGCCAGGAAGCCAGACACCGAGAGTGTGGGGGGTAGCATGTCACTAGTCCAGAGGTGCTGCCATAGATGTAGGCTGGGAACCCAACAGTTAGGCAATCAGGAGCCAGAACATGATTACCAGGGCCACAAACAGGAAGAGACGTGACAGGAACTGTTCATCCACATACTGAGGTGTCCCAGGGACAGCTGGAGAGATAAGAGGAAGAAAGCTGTCAGAAGGCTGCGCTGTCCATTTAGCGCAGAAGTCCAAAGCTTTCATCTTTATCTCTTTACAACAGACTCCTGCACATTACAAGATTTCCAAATCCCAAATAATATCAGGCCAAAAAAAATTCTTTTCATAATTTATAGTTAGTATTAACTAAAGCCTAAGTGGGTTTAGCTTGCGAGTTTAGCTTGCAAGTACAAATAAAACAGGAAACCTTAGAGGAAATAATAAAAGAAAAACTATTATCTTTCCAGGCATCTTCTGTGTGCTACGTGCTATGCACAATTACTGCCTGGTGGTCATTATTATTCCCTAATTTGTCTTAAGAAGAAATCTAAGGTGGAGAGGTCACACTGATGGTGTTGGAACACTAAATGCCTGAAACAATTATACAGTGAACAACTTTGTAAGTCGGGGAAGGGGGAGGGGTAAGAGGGAGGGGCAGGAGGAAATTAAAGAAGAAAGAATGAGGAGGAGGAGGAGGAGAGGAAGGAAGAGGGAGGAGGAGGAAGGAGGAAGGAAGAAGAAAGAGAAAAGGAGAAAGAAGAAAGAAAACGAAGACCCAACCGACCCAAGGTCACAAGGTTCACGAGTTGGTGGCAGAGCCCCTGAGTCCCCAGTCGAGCCGAGCCTCTCAGCTAGCACACTGCCTCCTGAGGCCTGAGCGTATCTATGAATTCTCACTCTGTTGAGCCAGGAGGGATCTCACAGGGCACCCCAGGGGATGCCTTCCCTTCCCAGAGAGGACAACTAAAGCCCAGGCAGTCTATGTGCTCTCTCTACCTCACTGTAAGTAAAGGCAGAAATGGGCTGAGAACTTGGGTCTCCGTTCATCTATTTAAATAAAAGCAGCCAACTGGACTGCAGAGATAGCACAGGGGATAAGGTGCTTGAGCTGCACCAGGTTTGATTTCCAGGGAGGTGCTGAGTGATTTTATTTTCCTGAAAAGGAGGCCTATAAGCCAAATAAGTTTGGGAACTTCGGTTTCCAAAGCACCACTTGTGGTTCCTCGAGCACGAGGAATGAACCCCGACAAGAAAATCAGAAGTAAACCCTGGGCCTCCTAGGTATGATCCAAAACAAAAACTACAGAGCACATGCCTTGCACATGGCCAACCCAGGTTCTATTCCTGGCACCATATGGTCCCATAAGCAGTACTAAGAGTAACCACTGAGCACAGAGATAGAAGTAAGCACTGAGCACCATCTGGTGTGGTCCATAAACCAAAGAACTCCCCGCCCTCCCTCCAAAAGCAGAGATCCCTGACTTTGAGGGCCTGAAGAAAAAGTACAAGAAGCTGTATCCATCCTGAGATGAACAAACACCAAATATGACCATATGGGATACCGGGAATAGAACCCAAGTAGGCTGCATGCAAGGCAAGAACCCTACTTGCAGGACCAGAGCTCCAGTCCACTTTTTATGGGTCGGGTGTAGTTCTCAGGAAACATTTCTGAGCATTTCCTCATTTGTAAAATAGAGTTAATCCATACCTGTCCCACAGGCTTACTGCAAGAATCCCTAGATTGTCAAGAAAGGTGGCTTAAATGAGCGTAATACTTGGTAACTGTGTGCTATTATTAGTGTAACTACCAGTGATATGAAGGGAGTTCAGCACATTTTGAAAAGGCTAACAATGTGATGACAATGGCTGTTGTGTATGTACTGCTAAATTCCAGAGGATTCCCAGGTAGGGTTCACAGAAACAGGGCCTTACCTGGAGGAGGTCGCCCATCATTTATGTTAAATGCTGTGGCAAATATCCCAAAGGGAAAGGCCCCAATTCCAAAAGACATCTGGAAGCCACCATCTCCAAATCCAAATCCTTGAAATCCCTGTATGGAAGGAAGAAATACAATTAAGAATGACAACCAGTGTTATTATTGGTTTTTTGTTTGTTTGTTGGGTTTGTTCTGTTTCGGGGCCAAACTTGGTGGTTCTCCAGGTTTACTCCTGGCTCTGTACTCAGGGATCTCCTGGTGGAGCTCAGAGGACCATAAGAAGTGCCTGGAATCAAACCCACGTCAAATGCATGCAAGGCAGTGCCTTAGCCACTGTCCTATCTCTCCGGCCTGTAGCTCCCAATTTTTTTTTCTCCCCATTTTTGATCCACACCCAGTGATCCTTATAAGAATCACTTTTGGCGGTACTCAGGGGAGCAGACCTGGGTCGGCCCTGTGCAAGGCAAACACCCTACTAGCTGTACTGTATCTACAGCGCCCCGAAGCTCCAAACTTCTTGCTGGACAGCATTACCGTAAAGACTAATAGTCAATTTAATTAAAAAAAAAAAGTAATCCTATAGGAAAGAAAGCAACGGCTTCCATCTCAGTACAGAAATGCTTCTTTCACAGACCAACATGGCTGAGTCTCAGGGCTCCTGGGACTGCAGCTGCCTTACCCAGCAAGGTGCAATTGTTTCATCAGTGCCGTCCTGAGCACTATCCCAGACTCCTTTCCATGAAAACCTGTATCATCCTACAGGACCTTACTTTTGGGGGGTTTATATTCCACGGGCAGTTGCAAGTGCCTGTAACACCAAACATGTGCATCACAGCCAGACTCTGGCTTCCCAGGGACTCACTCTCGTCCCCAAACACTTCAGTGGGAGCTAGTGCCTGGGAACGGAAAGTGGTGTCTCCCGAAGCCATAAGCAGGAACTTCAATTCCAGCCAGCTATAAGTTTCTGTCCATCTGCGTGGCTATGAATCAGTCACTTCGTTTATCTGGGTCTCTGCTGGGATTTATACTAGATTACATATGCGAGAAGGCCCTTAATACAAAACTTTCGCATATGAAGACCATTCAACAGTATTTAACAGTTAAATTAAGTTTCATTAATTTAACTCTGGGCTGGAGCGATAGCACAGCAGGTAGGGCTTTTGCCTTGCACGCAGCCAACATGGCCGACCCGAGTTCGGTTCCTCCGCCCCTCTCAGAGAGCCCGGCAAGCTACCGAGAGTATCTCACCCGCACGGCAGAGCCTGGCAAGCTCCCCGTGACGTATTCGATATGCCAAACACAGTAACAACAAGTCTCACATTGGAGACGTTACTGGGCCCACTCAAGCAAATCGATGAACAACGGGAGGACAGTGACAGTGACAGTGACAATTTAACTCATAGCAAAGAGTTATCTGGAGGAGCCAGGAGATGGTTTGGTGTCTAAGGTGCCTGTCCTGCAAGCCAAGGGCTGGGAGTTTGATCCCTGGGGCTGCTGCATGCACTGAATATGACAGTGTCAGCTCTGCTATTTGAGATACTAAGTACCAGCACCAAGAGCAATTTCTGGCCACACTACAGCTAAGCGTGTCAAGTACTGCAACCAAAGGATGCAACCCTTGGAAAGCACTGATACCAAAAGAAGATGTTTGAGCACAGGGGCCAGGAGTGAGAGCAAGCCCCAGTGAGCATGGACATGAGCACTACAACCAGAATAATCAAGGGCACAATTGAAAAAGTGCAACCACTGGAAAAATACGTGTCCAGGCAGCATAATTAAAGGAATTTGACCCCTGGCAAGTACCTCAGCCAAGTATGTGGGCACCACAAATAAAAGTGTGAGCACCACACCCAAATGTATGTGTGACACTTTTCATGGCAAGTAATATCAAAGAAGGGAAGAGGAAAAAGGAAATCTGTAGACGAGGGCCCCAATTTGTATGGCAGTGTCTGATTCCGTGATCCTTCCTGAGGGCCCAAGGACAGCTCAATGGTGAATGTCTGTCTGGGGAACATGAGGCTGTGAGTTTAATCCTGGCACTGTCATACATGTTTAAGGGAGATTCCTGGGGCACAGCACTGCTCTTTGGGATCCTGGCACAAGTAAGAAGGTGGTGACATATCATGGCCAGGTGGACCAAAGCAAAACTAAAGTGTGCAATCAACCACTAGCGAGCTCAGCATCGAAAGTGTGCATGGCCCCATAACCAAGTGTCCAAGCACCACATCAGGTCATTCCAACAAGAAGCAACGAGAAACGGGAAGTTGGAGAAAATCTTTCCCCTGGGAATCCAAAGAAAATGCTGCAATCCCAATAGGAAAAAAATATGTGCAAAGCGGGTCATGGTAGTATTGTATATAACATCAAAATCCAGAAGCAATTCAAAGGTCCTTTAACTGAAAAACCTAAATCATGCATCAACATTAAACTGAATAAATGTTGAGCCTTTAAAATCCATGAGGAGGTGGCAAAGTGACAGTATAGGGGGCAGAACACTTAACTGCCTTGCATGTGGCTGACCCAGGTTCAATCTCTGGAACTGCATATAGCCCCCGAGCACCGCCAGAAGTGATCCCTGAGCACAGAGTCATAAGTAAGCCCTGAGCACCCCCAGGTGTGACCCAAAAACAAAAATGAAAAAAAATTACAAGGGACCCACATGAATAGCTCAGAAGCATTGATCTTTAAGCTTATGGTCAGGAGTTCAAAAGCACCAAGCTCCATCCTGGAAGCAATACCCTGGTGCTGCTACTCCTGGGGAGCACCACACCATAACTTGAGTGCCTCAACTAGGAGTGCCTTTCCTGGCAAGCATGTGTGCAAGCATCACAACTGAGGAGTGCAAATCTTGGTGAGTACCACAGCCAAATGTACGTGCACTGAACCTGACTGGCGACTCCTGGAGAGTCTACGGTAGCCTGTGAGTACTATGCACCCAGGCAGTTCCTGTAACATCATCATTGATGAAGGGAAGGGGAGGCACAAAGGGATGAAATAGCTTAAAAAAAAGAAATTGAAGAAGACACTAAAAAGTTAAATTAAAAGTACTGAATGGGGGCATGGTGCTGCCAGCAGGTCAACCTGTACCTCTGGGGTGAGTGCATCAGCAGCCTGATGGTGCCTTCAGTCTTCCAGATACCCCAAAATAAAAATTACATTTTAAACAAACAACATAGTGAAAGTGTCAGATATGTAAAAATACACATATACAGGCATGTCAAGAATTTGGAAAAGTATAAATATACGTGTTCAAGGACTCTGGCATTGGAGGATCTTTCCTTTCAAGATTTAATCTTTTATAAGTGCCAAGGATCAAAACTAGGGCTTCATACATAATTTCTACCACTGAGTCATATTCCTAGCCTAAGTGTTTTCACAAGAATTTTGTTTTGGGGGCCTCCCAGGAGTGCTAAGGGACTACTACCAGGCAAGTTGCTTAGGGGCTGTTGGCAATGCTAGGGATAAAACGGCGTCCCACATACAAAGCCTGTGCACCAATCCTTTGAACTATTGCCCAAGTTCCCAACAAGAAATTTTTTTAGCTTTTTTTTTTTCCCACTTTTTGGGTCACACCCGGTGATGCACAGGGGTCACTCCTGGCTCTGCACTCAAGAATTATCCCTGGCGGTGCTCAGGGGACCATATGGGATGCTTGGGAAAATGAACTCGGGTCGGCTACATGCAAGGCAAACGCCCTACCCGCTGTGCTATCACTACAGCCCCAACACTAGCTTCTGATTTAGATGATTTTTTTCAGCTAATAATTCTAAGAACTCTAAAAAATAATCATGAACCTGCTACATGTATCTGTAATTTTTTTTTACGTTTACTTCTTACATTTTTGTTTATTTTTTCCTTAAATTTTTATTAGCAAAACACCATGAGGTGCAGTTGTAGACTTACAAATTTTTGTGCCTGGGTTTCAGTTATACAATGATCGAATATGTATCTGTAATTTTTAATAGCATTATTTATTTACAATATTTAGGGTTTTTATGGACCATACCTAGCAATGCTTAGTTACTCCCGGAAATGCACTCAGAGATTAATCTGAATGACTGGGGGAATATATGGGGTCAAACCAGGAATGGCCTTGTGCAAGGCAAGCGCCCTACGCATTGTAGAATCTCTTTAGCCCCCAAAGCATCTTTTAAACAGAAGAAAAGGAGGGACCATAACACAGCAGGTAGGGCGTTTATTTGCCTTGCACAATGGCCAATGTGGTTTACTCCCTGGAACTCATATGGTCCCCTGAGCACCACCAGGAGTGCCCCCTGAATCAGCAGAGCTAGGAGTAAGCACTGAGCAGTGTACACCCAATGGTATACCCCACTCCTCCCCCCAAAAAGAAACAAATATCCAATGATTTAAATAAATTATAATTGACTAACGTTTACTTTAAAGTCTAAAGACCAACTCTCAGACTCTAGTGAACTGAAAGGGAATAGGAACTGAAGGGAGGAAGGGTTTATTGGACTATGGTGAAGAGAAGTTAGTCCTTTGGTAGTGGACAATGTGTGGTAATATACATTTTGAAGATGTGATAAATTGTATTCCTAAAACCTATATAATAAGTATACAACATTTCCTCAATAAATCAATTAAAATATTATAGTAAATTCATACAAATAAGTACTAAATAGCTATTAAAATGCTACTGACACATAAAATCTCTTATTGTTAAGGGCTGGAGAGATAGGTGAAGGCCCTTACTTGCCTCACAAGAGCCAACCTGTTTGATTTCTGGCAGCACATATGGTCCCTGAGCACGGCCAGGAGCAGTCCCTGACCTAAGAATGTCCAAAATCAAGAACCAAACCAAAACCAAGAACAAAAGATGTATTGTTGAAAGGCTGTTCTGAGAGTGTCAACTGCATAGAGCAAGGATCTTTGCTATGTTCACTGTGGTACCACCAGCAACTAGAATAATACTCTAACACAGAAAAGCACTTAATATAGAACAAATATTTAAAAAGAGCTATAAACAGGACTTACATAATATAAAAAAAAATAATAACTCAATGGGCTGAACACATGCTCTGCACGCAAAGGTTCCAGGTTTGATCCCCAGCACCACGAATTTTTCTGAGCACCACAAGTGACTCAAGGACTAAACCAGCCGTAACCTCTTAGCCCTACCAGATAAAACAAAATTCACACATATATGCAGATCTATAAAATCTGCAATGATAGTGACCAGGGATATGGCTCAGTGGTAAAAAGCATGACTCAAAATATATTAAGGTGGGCTAGAGTGATAGCACAGTGGGTAGGGTGTTTGTCTTGCACGCGGCCGACCCAGGTTCGAACCCCAGCATCCCATATGGTCCCCTGAGCACCGCCAGGGCTAATTCCTGAGTGCAGAGCCAGGAGTGGCCCCTGTGCATCACCAGGTGTGACCCAAAAAGCAAAAAAAAAAAAAAAAAAAAAAAAAAAAAAAAAAAGAGGCTTCGGTCAGATCCCTGGCCCTGGCACTGCAAACACATTTGATAGAAATAAGACCAAAATGCTTCCAGTGTTCTGAGTGGTATGATTCATAAATAATAATTAATGGCATGATTAATACCCCATTTTTCTTTCTATAACTTAGATTTTCCTTTACATTTATAATCAGAGGGAAAAAGCATCGGGTCAAGAAGAAAAAATATGTAATATCTTATATCTTAATAATGAAGCCATGGGCTCATTTCTCTAACTCTTCCTAGAATGTTCCTCACCCCTCTGTTCTCCGGCTCCGGTCTTTGTCCTTGAGGACGAGGAGGGGTCTTCTCTCTGAAATAAAAACAGTATAAAGTCCATCACAAAACGCTCTGAGCTGATCCCTGGGTGGAGTGGGAGTTCTCCACCCACAAGCCAAGGTTCCCTTTCCTGCCCAGCACATAAACCAAATGAAACCAAATATGAAGTCTTCATTTTCCCGGCAATTAACTGTTTTTCTCAACTGCAGAGAAAGCCAAGGAATAAAGCAGCTTGTTATGAGATTCTTTAGATTGCCCATAGCCTTCTCCTCTCACAGGCACCTTAATCCAGATAGGGATGAATGCCAGCTAGTTCTTCTCCCCAGGCTGTCTGATACAGAAGTCACTGACGATATGAAGAAATCCCTAAATCCAATTTTGAACAGAGGAGGGTTTGTCAGAAATTCGGGATCTCTCTTATCTGTCCTGTATCTCAGTTTTACCTCTTACACTTTTTTGACAAGTGTTCCCTCTATTCTATTCGCCTTTGGGTCTAAGCCTCTTCTACTATGGTGACAACTAATGTGAAAGACACCCCATGTCAAGGAGGAGGCTAACTTTGGACCTGTTCATTGAAGGTGAGCCTAAATTAGAGGTAATACAAGGGGTTTAACATGGGTTGAGCTCTGTCTCTTCTGGGGATAGCAGAAAAGCCAGAAAGAGAGGAAACAAAAAGGTTCATTGGGCTAATAAAGTCCTTTAAAAAAAAGAAATCCAATATATCCGGAATGTCAAATATCTACAGGGAATGTTGAGTGGGGTAGGAATGTAAGCAATACTGTCAAGTTCTTTTTTTTTTGGGGGGGGGGGGGTCAGGCCATCAAAAAGGGCTCTGTTATAGCAATTCTCTCCCCCATTCCCCTGCTGGACACCTGGTCCTAGGTGCGTTCTTCATACACCTTGCATATTTCCAAGTGATATGCAGCCCAAGCACAATGTTCACTGGCAGAGGTTCAGTAGCACCAGTAATCAAATCCAGAATTTGGTTATTCTTAACTCTCAGTTTACTCCTGCGCGCATCCTCAGAACTGAGGGTGAGCAAGCATTAAGGAAAGACTGGGTAAAGGAGTGATGAACGACTTAAAAGTCAAGTTCAAGGGCGGAAGGGAGAGTGTGCAAAAGATGTCCCAAGGCCTCACCTGGGGTCCTGCTGTCCTGTGCTGCCCCTGCCGTAGAGCGGGATGACCTTGTCTCGACTGATGCCGGCTTTGCAGACTGGACACACCTGCCTGTTAGGTCTGGTCTCTAACCACTGCAAGCAGGAGAGAGAAAAGCATGAATGGCCCAAGCCCAACATCAAGCAGTCCATCAGAACAACACAGGCCAGAGCATTTAAACTGGAATACCTCAAAGAACTGACTCTGACTCTTGCCCCTGGCACTCACTAATAAATATTTACTGGCGGTGAAATCAAAATTGCCTTTAAACACCATCATAATTACACAGGCTTCTTCACGCATCATTCTCTCTAGGGGTTCCCAGCAACAGAGCAAGAAGAAAGCGCATGCCTAGGGCAGTGTCAAGGAGCCTCTTTTTGAGTCTGAGCTTCAGTTTGGGTTCTAGTGCAGCCATGAGTCTTTAAATTGCCACCTTCCCCGAAGGATTCCTGCTATTACCCTGGTGATCAGAGTTTTCTGTGATGTTTCATTTGTATAGCATTTTGCCAACACCTCTAGGACTTATTTTGCTTATTATCTAAATTCACTTTATATTTTAACTGTACTTTCATTGGCATTTGCATTGTTATTGCTTTCAAAATTTAAACAACAACAAAACGGATTCTATATGGGGTTTTCCAAACCTTTTAACAGGCTGTATTAAAAATACATTTTTTCCTGATTTGGAGGACACTCCTGGCAGTGCTCAGGGTTTACTCTGGGTTCTGTGCTTAGGGACAATTCCCAATGGAGCTTGGGGGATTATTTGGAGTGCCAGGGATAGAACTCAGGTCACAAGTACCATACCCACTCTACTATTTTTGGTCCCCCATTTTTAACATTGTTTTGGGGGCGACACTCAGGGATGTTCAGGGGTTACTCTTGGCTCCACACTCAGAAATCACTCCTGGCAGTGCTCAGGAGACAATATGGGATGCTGGGGACTGAACCTAGGTTGGTTGTGTACAAGGTGAGTGCCCTACCCTCTATACTATCTCCCTGGCCCCCCCCCGTTTTAACTTTCTTAAAAACAAACAAATAAAGATAATACATTACCTATAGTACCTTTATAAACCTTAATTATTCATTTTTTTTCCAATATAAATTGCATCTTTGGGTCCAGTAAGGACTGCACTGTAGCACTACACTGTCCTCCCATTGTTATTTATTTATTTACCTATACTTGTTTGGGTCACACCCGGCGATGCACAGGGTTTACTCCTGGCTCATGCACTCAGGAATTACTCCTGGCAGTGCTCGGGGATTGATATGGGATGCTGGGGATCGAACCCAGGTCGGCCGCGTACAAGGCAAAGACCCCACCCGCTGTGCTATCGCTCCAGCCCCTAGGATTAGATTTATTATACAAATGTGAATCTAGGGCTTCAGCATCACGAAGGCAGTGTTTACTGATTTTTTTTTTTTTGAGGGAGGTGGGCCAAATCCTGACGTGCTCAGAGGTCACGAAGACTACATTAAGTGATGCTGAGGAGAGTGGGGAAGGAAAAAACAGGTATGACATGAAGTGCTAGGGACTGAATCCAGGACATTCATCGTTCAAGACATGAACTACCATTTGAGCTAGAGTCCTGGTCCCTGTCTTATTCCTAAAAACATCAAAATGTATGCATTTTGTGCTATCAATGTGCTCTTCTGGGTTCCACTGAGATCAGAATGCAGCCCTAAACAAACCAGAAACACTTCTCGTCTCTCTCTTTTCTTCCATCCAGGTTCTGAGACTCTATTGGACAGCAACTTTGTCCAGCCTCCATACTTCCTTCTCTCAAACACCTACTAGCCCAGGTTCTACTGCAGGCAACAATGGACGCAGGCATCTCTGCAAGATTCTTAATAGCTCTACATCCCAGGCCTTGCACTGTCCTACCCACCAGGTGCCTGGGTCCCAGGGAATATGGACTGATTTTCATAAGAAAGCTGGGCAAGGGACTTTCGGTTTTTTGGGCTACACTCAGTGAAGCTCAGGGGTATCAAAAAGTCTTTGGTATAAAAAATGTTTCCCTCCCAACATTTTCAAGACCATAAAAGATAGGGGGGACTGGTGATGTGTTTCTTTCTACAGAGGCCAAGTCACAAATACGAAACCCTACCAAAGTGTAAAATTCAACACAATTTCCAAATGAAGAAAGGGGACCCGAGAGGTAGTGGGTTGCTAAGGCCAGAAAGGCAGTATGTAACATGGTCAGGACCATCTTGGGAATTACATTAACCACCCTGCAGTTTCATCAAGCTCTGTCAGTGGGCAGGTGGATAGAGAGTTGGGGGAAAGCAAGCAAATGAATCCACAAGCAAGGGAGATTGCAGCTTCTGACAGCAGTCTCCTGAGACCAGGAGTGTCTTGTGCAACCACAGCTGATGAAAGACAAAGTAAAATGAAAAGCATCTTACCTGATGTAAACATGGCCAACTGCAGAGTCCCCAAGGGCAAGCAGTCATCAAGGAGAAAGGGGGAAAAAAGAAGAAAAATGCTTTCATTAGCAGAAACACTGAAGGTGTTGGGAACAGAAAAATGGGGGAAAAGAATCACTACAATCCACTGAGAATCTGAAAGCATCACTATGTCAGAAGCCACCGATGTCAGAAAAGAATGAGTGAAACCACCGGAATGATAAGGCCATCGAGATAAAATGCCTGTCACCAGCCCTGGGCCTCCATTACTTGTGAAGACCTCCATATCCCAGACTCTTCCAGACTCACATTCTTTATGAGTGAACTTTTGAAGGGTAATGGCATCTGAATCAAGAACTAAGGACTCTAGAAGGAAAAACACCTGAGGGTGCTTGCATATGTGCTTAACACTCTATTTTACTCAGTTCAATAGGCTCAGTCTTTTTAGAGGTTTCATAAGGAATGTGTGGATTTAGATCTATGTTAAAGTCTTTAGGCTGTCCTCAGCCCTGAGAACTCTGGCAGGAAGTAGCTTGGATGTTCAGGTCTACTGCATAAACATCTTTAATGAAAAATATGGGTATGGTAGAAAAATTTATTCTAAATCTTAGCTTATGGAGTTACAAGACAGAAGCTGCTGCCCAATCTTTTATTTTTAATTTGTTATTCATTTACCTATTTTTGGTTTTTGTGACACACTCGGTGATGCGCAGATGTTACTCTTGGCTCTGCATTCAGGGACTACTCTTTCCTGACCATAGGGGATTGCCAAGGATTGAACCTATGTGCAAGGCAAGCACCCTATCCACTCTACTATTTATCCAGCCCCCTCAATCTTTTTATTTTTAAAGATATGTTTCATTTGGGCTGGAGCGATAGCACAGCGGGTAGGGCGTTTGCCTTGCATGCAGCCAACATGGCCGACCCGAGTTCGATTCCTCCGCCCCTCTCGGAGAGCCCGGCAAGCTACCGAGAGTATCTCGCCCGCACGGCAGAGCCTGGCAAGCTCCCCGTGACGTATTCGATATGCCAGACACAGTAACAACAAGTCTCACAAAGGAGACGTTACTGGGCCCGCTCGAGCAAATCGACGAACAACGGGAGGACTGTGACCGTGATGTTTCATTTACTTGCTGCTGCTGTTGTGTTTTTGGTTTCCCAAGCAGCATTCTGGGAATCTGGGAACCACTCAGTCTGGCTCTAAAGGCCAAACAGTTCAGTGCTCAAGTTCAGCAAAGCTGGGAGGAATTTGGGCAGGGGGTGCGGTGCTGAAGACTGAACTCAGTGCTCCTGCATGCATGGCATGGGATCTAGCCCTTTGAGCTACCTCCCGAGTCCTGAAATTTATCATTTGAAAAATGACAAAAGTAAACTCAGAAACGAAATAACTCACCTCAAATACCAGGTCTAAAATATCAAGTCAGCTAACTTTTCCGGGTGACTAGTCCTCCTCTAACCTAGTACTGGGTACAAGAACTTATATTTATAGACTCTAAAGAAAAGTTACCCTAAGTCCAGGTTTAGGGTGAGGGTCTGGAAGGGCCTTTCCATGCAGTGTTCAGGGGGTCCAGGGGCTTCTCCCAGAGATACTCGGCCTGGCTGTGTGGGCTGCTGGCTCAGTGCTTGGGCCTGGCGCAGTGCTGCTCATGCCCAGCAGGGCTAAATGCCAATAAGGCCTCACTGGCAGTGCTTGGGGCCACTAGAGTCACACCCAGTCCAGAGGTCCTTGGGGATGATGTGCTGCTAGGGACTAAACTTTGCACCTGGAGAATATAAGGAATGCATTCTAGCCCTTCAGGCTATCTCTGGTCCTCATCGCAGGTTTTCTAATCGATCTTAATTGATTCCCTCATACAGTCATTCACTCACTCATCTAACAACTTACATTCTGCACATACCTGCAATATGCCACGGCAGTGGAAAATGTAGGCATGATTTCTGTTCCTCATCGATTGCCTCTCCTACTGAGTCAAGTTCGAACTCAGATCATTCCTTTAATTCCTAAACAATTCAGCCTCAAAAATCTAGATGCACAAACTCCCTGAATGTAAGAGACACCTGCTTCGAGCTCCAACATGAACTATGCAAATGCCATTCTAAATTGAGCTGAGGAATCCCAAAGCTCGGTAAATCCCATCCTCTGTGGGAGAAGTGACTTTCCTTTATAGGAAATTTAAGGATTAGGACAATGATGATAGCTATTGTCATATTTTTTTGTTTGTTTGTTTCAGTGGAGGTGTTGGAGGCAGGCCAGTGCTGTCTGACAGTGCACAAGGGCCACAAAGTGCTAGAAATCAAACCCAGAATCTCACACTGCAATAAGTATGCTCCACCTTTTAAGTCACCTCCCAGTTTGCTGTAAGTAACACTATGTGGCGGCAGGTGTGGCCAAATAACTTTTCATGTAATGTTACTGAATGGTTCCACTCACCTTTGAGGGAGTACAATTACTTCCATTTTAAAGATGTGAGGCACAGAAAGACTGGCAGATTTTCCCAGAATAAGGGACCCTGACTGAAAGCATTTGTTTCATTTTTTTAGTCTATGACCATTCCAGTAGTATTCTCTTTGTTTGGGGGCCACACCTGGCAGTGCTCTGGAGTTATTCCTGTTTCCAAGCTCAGAAGTGACGCTGGTGATGCCCAGGGACCATATATGGTGCCAGATATAAAACCATGATTGAAAGCATGCAAGGCAAGTGTTTTACCTCTTATACTATCTTTCTAGCTGTCCCCTAATTCTTAATTTTGTCACTCATATCAAGTCCTAGTTTTATGATACTCTGGGGAATCACCAATTTCCAGGAAAAGGCTAATAATAACAGTTTCTGAATCAAAATAATCATGGTCATAGAGCTCATGAGAACATGTTTTGTATGTGGGGTCCTGGGGGTAATACCTCCAAAACCACTAGCAGCAACAACTCCCCACACAGCCAGAAGTAGCCCAAATACTACCAGGTATGGCCCAAATCTCTACCCCAAAACAATCATGGTAAGAGCCTCAAAAAAAGCCATGGCCCAAACCACCATCCCATAATAATCAGGGCAAGAGCCTCAAAAAAAACAATTCCTCATTTTACTCATTCACCAATTTCTTACCTTACATACTAGTTGCTAACTAGTATAATTTTTTTGTATAGTGTTTCTGGGCCATAGCTGGTACTGCTCAAGTCTTATTCCTGGCTCTGCACTCTGGGGTCAGTCCTGGTGGTACTTAGGTGCCGGAAATTGAATCTGGGTCAGCCACATGCAAGACAAATACCCAACCCACTGTATTCTCTCTTCAGCCCTGCTAAAGAATATAATTTAAATAAATCACACTAAAATTTTCTTTCCTTTTCTTTTACACTAGGTGTCAAACATCTTAAATATTGCTTAAATGACCCTTTCTTCACACCACTTCCCTGCTCAAAAATATTCAGTAGCACTATGTCCTATTCAGTCAAATTTGGGGTTCCTTATCTGGCCTAGCCTCCCTGAACTATCTCTGTTTCCAAATACTCTCCAAACTCTATCCAGGATGCTATAAATCAGGTAGCCTCAGTGTCTTAGAAGAATCCATTAATGCGTATGCCTGTCGCTAGTAAGCAATGACCTGCCTTGGGACGGCACGTATTCCTTTCCTCAACTGGCATCATTAGCCCAATTCACCTCTTTACAAGTTGAAAATCAAGAGGAAAAGTCTGTTTTCTTGGTTTTGTTTTTTTGTTGTTGTTTCGGGGACACACCTGGTAATGCTCGGGGGTTACTCCTGACCCTGCAATCAGGAATTATTCTAGCAGTTCTTGGCAGACCATATGGAATATCGGGGGTTGAACTTAGATCAGCTGCATGCAAAGCAAACACCTTACCGGCTGTATTATTTCTCTGACCCCATAAAAGAAAAAATTGTCTTAAAAATTCACCTAGATTCTAGTAGCCAGGAGAGAATTCTGAAAGCCTGTAGGCTGAAAGAGACTCGCTACTTCATTCCCTTAGATATAAATTCTGTGACAATTACTAAAACCATAGCTAATAACTTTTACATATTTTGAGTAAACCACTGCTTACAAACAACCCTGAAAAATGGAGCCAAGTACTGCTTAATTACTTTGTGCAAGGATCGTCCAGTAAAATGGCAGAATGAGGATTCTGAATATGGCAGTCTGGCTTGCCTTGCTCCTAACCACTGTGCTATACCACCTTTGGATTCAGTACAGCAAGTGGCACAGTGGTCACTAAATGATGAGAGTTATGGAACTCAAGGTGAGGACAGCATTTACTGAGACCACTCAGGTCATGAACAGGAGAGCTGAGATGTAGACCAAGATCTTCTGTCTCTTGGACTTGAGTTTATGAGGAATGTGGGAAACCAGCTGCTCCAGCGGTAGCCCAGGGCCCTAAATTTTCTAAACTAGACAGTGCTGCCCCTGGGAAGGTGGTGCAGATACTGACCAGAAGAGGTGGCCACACAGGCTAATCACTGCATCCTTGGCTGTGTCCAGGCAGATGTTACACTCGAAGGTACTGTCCTGCCCTCCACTCTCACCAGCACCATTGCCACTGGGACCCCCTGCACTGGAGTTCTCAGGTGATGCTGAGGCCGAAGGTCCCTTGCTTGCCATCCTGGACTGCTGGCAAACTCTTGAGTGAAGATTCTCTCCAAGAAAATCCTGAAAGAAAAGGAGTCCTTTATCCCTGATTGCCCATGTCTGTAGAACACCCTCACCCTGCCTCCATTCTTATGTTCCTGTCTATTCTCAGTTTAAAGAAGTTCAGATTATGACTGAACCCCTGAGCACACATGTCACAGGTTTCAAAGGATAACTGTCACGGGGCACCACTGAGAGCACAATGATCAAAAACCCATTATTATCCTGGTCCAGAATGTACCACACAAACTGCACAAATACACAACATCTTCCAAACCATCATCCACAACAACGGAGTTCCTGTCTCATTGTCCTGACAGTCTCCAGGATGAGCACCAGGTGATAAATACGTGCTCAATCAAATTCTGCACTCACAGGCCAGAAGGCTGTGACCGGTACAAACTAGACTATCAAGAAAACACTACCTAGGAGCTGGAGCGATAGCACAGTGGGTAGGGTGTCTGCCTTGCATCCTGCATGTGGCTGACCCAGGTTCAATTCCCAGCATCCCATATGGTCCCCCGAGTACCACCGGGAGTAATTCCTGAGTGCAGAGCCAAGAGTAACTAACCCCTGAGCATCGCCGGGTGTGACCCCCCCCAAAAAAAATACACTACCTAAAACCAAAAAATATTAGGACGTGAAAGAGAACCAAAAAGGCCATCTGGTACAAATTCTTCCATACACAATCTTGCATTCCCTTGCTGACTAGATTAGAATACCACCTACCTTAAGTTCTCTAAACCAGTTCTCCTGGTGCCAGAGTGAAAGTACAGCGGGTAGGGTGTTAGGGCAGGGTATTTGCTTACCTTAAACACAGCCGACCTGGGTTCAACCCCTGACACCCCATATGGTCCCCCAAGCCCACCAGGAGTGATCCTTGAACTCAGAGCCAAGATGAAGCCCTGAGCACTACTGGGTTGCCCCCCCCCCAATAAAACAAATAAACCATTGTTTCCCAAAGTGATCAACATGGCCCCCCGGGAGACGCTAGAACACAGTGGGTGTAATTGGAATACAGTGGGTGTAATTGGAAGGTGCTTCTGTTTGCTTAAAGGAGGCAAATTTCCAGAAGGATGCTGATTTGTAAGGTGGTTTTTTTGTTTTTGTTTTTGTTTTTGTTTTTTTTGCTCTTTGGGTCACACCCAGCAATGCTCAGGGGTTCCTCCTGGCTCTGCACTCGGGAAATACTCTTGGCAGTGCTTGGGAGACAATATGGGATGCCAGGGATTGAACCCAGGTCGGCAGTGTGCAAGGCAAATGCCCTACCCGCTGTGCTAGCACTCTGGCCCCTGTTTGGTTTTTTTTAAAGGAATGATAGGTCAAATAAATTTGGGAACCCCCTGTAAATAAACAGCTTTTTAGTTGTACTATATTTAATTTTTTTTTATCCAGGTGTCGGGGAAAGGGCATTTAATCTTTTTTTTTTAATCTAGGTGTCGGGGAAAGAGGTCATACCAGCAATGTTCAGGGCTTACTCCTGACTCTGCTAAAAAATCACTCCTGGCAGGGCTCAGGGGATCATATGGGATGCTGAGGACTGAATTCGGGTCAGCTGTGTGTCAGACAAGCACTCTACCCATTATAGCAACATTCAGGCACAACAGCAATATATTTAAAGAGGACAGTTTTCATCTCTTGTAAAGAAACTACTATAAGTAAAAAGTTATATATATTATAACATTTTATATAATATATATCTTTGTGAAAAAATTTATCGTCATAGCCCTGGAAATCACTAGGTACACTTGGACCATGCTTTGAGCAAATAAGACCTAGTCCATCTCTTTAGGAAACTGTGGCAGAGACTTCTGGGCTAACTAATGCAGAGCTAAGGGTGGGGACCACATTTTGATGGCCAGTTTAAAGTTTATATACCACGGTATCATCACAAATCAAGCTAGTCAAATACTAAGTATGGGAAAACAGACCACACATCACTGTCTCCAACTCAAAGAACCTGCTAGGAGTTAATGAGGAGACCAGACCAACACCAATATTCAGAAATCCTGGACACAAAGAATGTGTCAAAAGTCTGACTTGGCCACCCTCGCCAACTCAGAAATTCTGCATAGGGAATGTTGGCTGACCAAGAGAACCAGAGGCTTGGATGCTAGTTTCCAGCTTCCTGGGTGGCTCAGCAATCCTCTCTACATCTCTCTCACTATAGTTTTCTCACCTGTAAGCTGGTCCTCTAACTGCCCCTCTCCAGCTCTGAGCCTGTGTCACGCTCCAGGTCCTCTCACCCACTCCCGGAAGCAGGCAGCCCTGACATAGGACTCGACTCACCGGTGCACCACAGCAGTTGCCTGGCCGCAGCTTCCAAAATACGAAGATAAGGACCAAACGTCAGAGTTCTCAGATCAAGGAGCTGTCCTACGCACAAGCAACCCTGATCTCTAGACTCAACGAGCATCCCTCAAAAAAGGCGACTCAGAGACTTGAGCAGGGAGAGAAGATCTGCTCACTGCCGCTTTTTCACTCAGTTACATCATTTTACGTAAGGTCCCAGAAGGGCAGCCGGCTGCCGACAGCACCAGTGCCTTGCTGGTCATGGATCCTAGTCCTTTTTCCTGACCTAGTCCTCCTTCCTCTCTGCATTTATTTGGTCTCCTAGAATGGTGTGTCTGCTTCTGAGAGGCATGTTAAGGTTTTTCCTCGTTGTTTTAGTTCAAAAACCTGTTAAGTGTCTTTAAAAAAAAAAAAAAACCTTTGAAAACTAAGGACTACAGAGCCAGGGAAATGGTTCTTTGCATATGGGAACCCCAGATCCAATAGCCAGTCCCCTGAGCAGCACCATATGGGCAGAAGCACCAAGTAGTCATAGAGCACTGCTGGTAAGGTGCAAACTAACCTCCCCCAAATAACTTTATTTTTTATCTTTTTAATTTTTACTTAGATGGGGGCCACTCCTATCTTGGCTTGGGAGACCGTCAGCCGAGTGCAAGTCAAGTGCCCTACCCGCTGTACTATCTCTTGAGCCTGTAGCTCCAAGTTATTTTAAACTGTATGTACAGATGTGGAAAGACAGCCATAAACATAGCATGAAGACAATCATGTTCACTGAGCAATCTTGACGATTGTTTCATGTGACTCAAGAAGTAGAGGGGGTCAGAGAGATAGTATAGCGGGTAAAGTATAGCCTTGCATGCGGCTGACCCAGGTTCAATCCCCAAAATTGCACTATGATCCCCCAGTATTCTAGGAGTGATCCTGAGCATAAAGCCAGAAATAAGTCCTAAACACAGGCAGGTGTGGCCTCAAATGAAAAAACAAACAAAAAAAAATTAAAAGGAAGAAAGAAAAGAAAAAACAAACACAGGGACCAACGGAGATAGCTCAAAGGTTTGAAACAAAAGCCTTGAATACATGCAGCCTGAATTTAATCCCCAGCACTGCCCTACCGCTGTGCTATCGCTCCAGCCCAAACCAACCAAATATAGGCCAAATATAGATTCTTGATGCTAGGAGATAGTATGTAATGGTTAGGGCACGCACTAGACATGTGCCTAATCTGGGTTTGGTTTCTGGTACCACATGGTCTCCCAAACATTGCTGGCTGCAAGCCCTAGATATCCCCAAGCACTGCCAGGAAGGTCCAAGTAATCATTGGCACCAGTATTGCAGGGTCCAAGCAGGGCACTACATCCTCAGGCTCTTGCATTAAACCACTAACTATGAATTTCTTTTGGGGCCCCTAGATGTCTTGAGTACTGTTTATGATATTTTATTTTTGCAGAACTTGGAAATTTTTGTTCTACAGAAAGTCCACATTCTGGACTTGCTGATTGCATCGTCCTTGAGCTGGTTAACAAACACAATTCATGTATGCCCTTGTTTTCTATAACCAACTCATTTGCTTTGGAGACTTTACAGTTGAGTCTGTGTTTGAAGTCTATTACTGGCGCTGTGTACTTTTTGAGGTAGAGTTTGACCTCCAGCTCTGTAACAGGGAAAACTCTAATAAAAATGGTGTTTGGGAGGAAGAGTAACCTCAGGGCCTGTCCAGCAGAATAGACATTCTTTGGCTAGAGTACCCCAGAGACTCCAGACAGGACAAATGACTTGGGAGTTGGTAAGGGTTAAACTGGCGGGTTAAACTGGACAAATGACTTGGGAGTTGGTAAGGGTTAAACTGGCGGGTTAAACTGGCTGCCATCTAAAACCACCCATCACCCATCAGTTCATCTGGGACAGACATGCTTATTTAAGACACAAGCTAGTTTTGAAAGACATTCCTAAACTTGAGATGTCCAGAGAGGCACGTGGTGATGGGACTAACACCGATGTACAACACAGAGTAATCCCTTAGGAACGCAGAGCCTGGCAGCCGGGAAGCTGACAGACCACCAGCCCTAGTCCTATTACCTTTCCAGAGCTGTCCTGCCCCACCTCACAGGAAACGAGCAAGAAAGAGAATGCCAGAGCTGTGCATCCCTGCAGGAACCACCAGGGAAGTTGAGCCTATGAAGAAATCTCTTTGTAGCATTCTTGTGTCCAGTTCAGTTTCTAGAGAATGCAGGTATGATCTGCCTTCTTTGTCACTTTAACTCTTAAGAATTCCTCAGCCCGCAAAAATAAATAATAAAATAAAAAAATTCCTCAGCCCTGATATACAGAAGCATCTAGAATATTCATCTTGGCTCCGGAGATTATAAATCTGGGTGATAAAAGACAGGCATGGTCTAAGTGGGATTCCAGCAGAGGTCTTGTTCCTGTGGGCACGTTTGTTAATAGAGATGAAGCTTTCTGTCAGGAACCGTGGTGTACCTGAGCATGTCTGGGCTGCTCCCTAGGCTGTGCCTGGACCACCTAGAGGCAGAGTCAATTTCCGTGTTCCATGAACATTACATCACACTCACAGAAGGTGGGTGTGGAAGAATCTTAGAAAGTTGACTGGAACATGGAACACACAAAAATCAAGTACTGTTCATTTCAGAGGCTCAAAGGAATTGTTTTTGTTTTAAGCTCTTAGACCTGGACCTCAAATGAAGGGGCACGGGCATGAAAGGCCTTCAGGT